CCGGGCCGGGGCGGCCGCGGGCTGCAGGGAGCCATGAGGGCGGCCAGCGGAGCCCTGGGCATGGACAGCGCCGGGCGGACCAGGGTGAGCGCGGGCACGGCCGGGGAGAGACCCCCGGGTTCGGCCGCGTCGCCGGGACTGCACCCCCGGGGCTCCCGCCGCGTCCCCGGGCTCCAGCACCGTCCCCGGGGCTGCATCCCGGGCCTCCTCCGGCATCCCTGGGCTCCCCCCGCATCCCCGGCTTCTCCTGCATCCCTGGGCTCGCCCTGCATCCCTGGGCTCCGTGCCCCGGCCTCACCCCCAGCCGCGGGACTGCACCCCCGGTCCCCTCCGGCACCTCCGGGGCTCACCCGCATCCCCGGACTGACGCCCCACTGCCGGGGCTGTATCCCGGGCTGTCCCCGCATCCCCGGCTGTCCCCGCATGCCCGGCTGTCCCCATCGCCCGTTCGGAGCCGCAGCTGCGGTCCCCGAGGCCGGGGGTTGCTCAGCCCGCACCTTGGCAGGAGGCCTACGTGGAGTACCTGAGGAGCATCACCCTCATCGCCCAGGCCCTGCAGGAGGAGGCGGCAGGGACAGGTAGGGCAGCACCCCGTGGAAACAGGGCGGGGTGGAAGTCCTGCAGTGCCCTCAACACGCCCACCCCACAGAGAGCAGCGAGGGGGTCACCCCGGACACCCCGAAACTGCTGAAGCTGGCGGAGCAGTGCCTGGAGAGGGTCAAGTCCATCGCAGCGGCGCTGGGTGAGTCGGGCGGGGGTCCCGCCGTGGGGAGCCGGGTGCCCCCGCAGGGCCCGGCTGGGCGTGGGGCACAGCCGGCCTGTCCTGCCCCCTCCCCAGGGAAAGCCCCGGTGAAAGCGGCTGCACAGGAGCGGGGTGGGGGCCCCGCGCCCCTCCCCAGGCACCGCCGCGTCTGCTCGGACGAGGGGGGCAAGCTGTCACCGTTCCTGCCCCCGGAGATCTTCCAGAAGCTGCAGATCGCTGAGGCACAGAGCGCGCGGAAGTACGGGGGGGAGCTGGGACAGGGGGACGGGGTCACGGAGCTGGGACAGGGAGTGGTGGAGCATGGGGGCTGATGTGGGCTGGGATACCGGGGCTGGGACGTGGGAGGCTCAAACACAGCGGGTAGGGCATGGGGGGTTCAAACACGAGGGGATTGGGACACGGGGTCTGGCAAGGACTGGCGGTGGCCCCATGCCCGCCTGCGCGGCCACAGAGCAGGATGTGGTCCTGGCACGTGTCCTGTGCCCTGTGGAGAGCGCTCAGGCTGTTCCTACAGGGAGCTGACCCCGCTGGAGGAGGCCTCCCTGCAGAACCAGAAGCTGAAGGCGGCCTACGAGGCGCGGGTGGCACGGCTGAACCCAAACCAGGCCGTGCAGAAAACATCCCTGGCAAGTGGGGGCTGGCTGGGGAGGAGCTGGGAGCTGGATAGAACCGGCTGCCAGGCAGGGAGAGGGTCCCTGGGGGACCCCTGCTCCCCACTGGTGGCCATGGGGCATGGATGGATGTTCCCAATCCCCTCCTGCTCCGCAGACGCTGTCCCTGCAGCGGCAGATGATGGAGAACCTGGTGATCGCCAAGGCCCGAGAGGAGACTGTATCCTTCCAGTGGGATTGCTCCAAGAGCCTCTGCCCTGTCCTGGCTGTCACCGACCCCACGCAGGCTTTGGGGTCCCAGCTGGGGCATGGAGGGGGGCGAAGGGCAGGGGGTGAGCACGCTGCTGGCTCTGGTCCCTTAACTGAGCCTGGCCCAGCTGCAGCGCAAGATGGAAGAGCGGCGGCTGCGGCTGCAGGAGGCGGCCAACCGGTGAGGGGGGATGTCACTCAGGGACCCTGAGCTCTGGGGACACCTGGCAGTGCCCTCACTGGCCCGGGCTGTCCCCAGGAGGTTCTCCAGCAGCGTGGCACTCACCCCTGAGGAGCAGGAGCAGCGAGCACTCTACGCTGCCATCCTCGAGTATGAGCAGGACCATGTGAGTGAGTGTGTGCCAGGGGCTGCTGGCAGGGCTGGGGGCTGTGCCATGGGGCAGGGGGCTGTGCCACGGGGCAGGGGGCTGTGTCATGGGGCTGGGGGCTGTGCCATGGGGAAGGAAGGGTGCTGATGGGGCTGGGGGCTGCTGGCAGGGCTGGGGGCTGTGCCATGGGGCAGGGGGCTGTGCCACGGGGCAGGGGGCTGTGTCATGGGGCTGGGGGCTGTGCCATGGGGAAGGAGGCTGTGCCATGGGGCAGGGTGCTGCACCATCCCCATGCCCAGCCCTGGACACTCCCCAGGACTGGCCAAGGCAGTGGAAGGCGCAGCTGAAGCGGAGCCCGGCGGATCTCTCAGTGGTGTCAGGGCTCTTCTCCTGCCTCCTGAGGTACTGCCGAGGCGGGCACGGCCCTGCCAGAGCGAGGGGGCTGCAGCTGCTGCCGGTGCCCCCCGCCCATGCCACCCCTGTGCCCACAGCTGCCCCGAGCACCCCATCACGCAGCTGCTGCGGCGGCTGCAGTGCGCGGTGTACGCCCGGCTCTACCCCGCCGTCAGCCGCGGCCCCGCCGACGCCTCCCCGGCCTCCCCCTCGGCGCTGTCCTTCCTCTCGCTGGACGCGGGGGGCTCCTCGCTGCCCGCCGAGCCGGGGGGCCGCCGGCTCCGGGCGTCCCGCAGCCTGCACTGCATGTTCTCGGTGCCCGAGCACGGCCCGGCGCTGCGCCACAGCCAGTCCAGCACGCCCCTGGCCGACAGCGGCGCCCCGGGGCCCGCCGAGCCCCCCGAGCCCCCCCGGGAGAGCTCCTTCGAGGACCTGGAGCGGTTCCTGGCGTCCCCCGAGGGCTGGGCCCCCGCAGAGCCCCCGGCCAGCTCCGGGCAGGACGCGGCGCTGCCGGAGCTGCTGAAGGGCGTCGTGAGGGACATCCACAACGCCATCGGTGAGGGGCGGCTGAGGGAGCAGGGGGTGGCTGGGGGCTCTCTGCACCCCGTTTTGACTCGGGGCACAGGTGGGCAGGATGGGGGGTCCCAGTGTGGGTAGGGCAGGGGGTCCCAGCGTGCTGTGTGCCTCACCCTTCCCAGACAGGCTGCTGGCTCTGACTCTGCTGGCCTTCGAGGGGCTCGGCACTGCCGCCGGCAAGGACCAGTGCCTGGCCTGCCTGGAGGAGGCTTTCTTCCCCCCGCTGTGGGCCCCGCTGCTGGCCCTCTACAGGTACCATGACCCGCTTTGGGGGGTCCAGGACCCACTGAGCCCTTCCTGGCACGCCCCGTCACCTCCGTGCCCGCAGGAGCGTGCAGCAGCCGCGCGAGGCGGCCCTGGCGCGCAGCATGGAGCGGCACCGGCACGCCGGCCCCGCCGACGTGGGGCTGGCCTCGCGCCTCTTCCCGGCCGGGCCCGGCCGCCCCGCGTACGCCTCGGCCGTGCAGGACCTGCGCCTCATCCCGCTGGAGAGCTGTCCCCGCAGGAAGCTGGAGTGCATCGGTGAGCGGCACGGGGCGCGGGGCGGGCGCCCGGGGTGGCGGCGGCGGCCCTGACGCCCGGGCTGTGCCGCAGTGCGGGCCCTGCGCGGCATCTGCGAGTGCGCCGAGGAGTACTGCGGCACGCGGGACGCCCGGAGCCTCGCCACGGCCGCCATGTGAGTGCAGCGCGACGGGGAGCCAGGGCAGGAGTGGGGCCTGTGGCCGCCGTGGCTGACGGTCCTTGTCACAGCGGGGCAGACGACCTGCTGCCCATCCTGTCCTACGTGGTGCTGCAGACGGGGCTGCCCCAGCTGCTCTCCGAGTGTGCAGCCCTGGAGGAGTTCATCCACGAGGGGTACGTGACAGGGTGTGGGCCATGCCGGCCCACGAGGGGTACGTGACAGGGTGTGGGCCATGCCGGCACCCCTGGGCTCAGGACACCGGCACCCTCCTGGCACGGGGCTGTCGGGGTGGGAGGTGGGCTGGAATAGCAGCAGGGCTGAGGGGTGGCGGATGGGATGGTGTCCTGGTCATGGCAGTGTCCCAGCCACGATGGTGCACTGCCCATGGTGGTGTCCTGGTCACAGCATGTCCCAGCCATGATGGTCTGACACCCATGGTGGTGTCCTGGTCACGGCAGTGTCCCAGCCATGATGGTGGGACACCCGTGGTGGTGTCCCGGTGGTGACAGTGCGATGGCTGTGGGCACAGGTACCTGATCGGGGAGGAGGGGTACTGCCTGACGTCCCTGCAGAGCGCCCTGTCCTACGTGGAGTCGCTGCAGTGAGGAGGGGGCGGCGCGGGACCCCCGCACCCCCGGGCAGGTACTGCCGCCGCCCGCGGGTCCTCCCGCCCAGCAGGGGGCGCTGTGGCGCGGGCTCGGCCCCGCCCCGGGGGCGGGGCTACGGGCGGCACGTGCATTCCGGCCCGGTGCGCGCGGAAGGGGAACGGGAAGGGAGCGGGAGCGGCAGGTGCGGGGGGAGCCGGGACCGGGCCGGGGGGAACAGCGGGAGGCCTCGGCGGGGGGAACCGGGGCCGGGGAGTGACACCGGGAGGACTGGGGCCAGGGAGGTGCCGGGGAGGCCTCGGGGGAGCAGAGTTCCGGAGCTGCGGCTTTGGCGGGGGAGCTCCACAGGTTCGGGAGGGGGTCCCGGGGTGGGGTCTGACGGGTCCCGGGGTCCCGGGGTCGGGTCTGACGGGTCCCGGGGTTCCGGGGTCTGACGCTGCTGTGCCCGCAGGATGTGTGCAGGCTCGGCGCCGCGGCAGGAGCCCCGGCAGGACTACGGGCAGGAATTCCGGCAGGAGTTCTACCAGGAGTACCGGCGCTCTCTGGAGCGGGAGCTGGGCCCCGCCGGGAGCTGCCCCGGCCCCGCCGTGGCGGAGCGGCTGCGGCAGCGGCTGCAGCAGGAGCCGGCGCTGCTGGAGGCCCTGCAGGAGGACGCCCTGGCACTGCTGGCCCGGGGGCTGCGGGACCACCCCGACCCCGGGCTGGCGCTGCGAGGCCTGGCCAGCGCCTTCCGGCTGCTGGAGCTGGCTGCCGTCAACCTCTACCTCTTCCCGTGGCGCCGGGAGTTCGGCACCATCCCGGTGAGGCCCTGGGGCGGCGTGGGGACGGTGTGGGGGTACCCAGACACCTCCAGCCACGCTCCCCGCTCTCCTTGCAGACCTTCTCCGGCGCCTACGTGCACCTGCTGCGCCCGGCGCTCCCCGAAGCCGACCTGGAGCGGAGTTTGGGCCGGCTGGGCTACGAGCGGCGGGACCGGCACCGCCTGGCCATGGAGCGGCGGCCCCCGGGGCCTGCGCTGGTCGCTGCTGCTGTTGGCTTCCTGGCCTGCCGCCTGGAGTGTGAGATCCTGGCAGAGCTGGCGCCGCGCCTGCGGTGCCCCCGCACCGAGGAGCTGCTGGAGGCGCGGCATCGGGCCGGGGGTGCCCAGGGGTGCCTGGAGGTGCTGCAGGACCCGGGGACGCGGCCCGGGGCGGCTGCTGGCTGCGGTGACGGCGTGGATCTCTACCGGGAGAGGCCTGACAGCCCTGAGGGCACGGGGAGCAAGGACACAGCCCCCCCAGCGCTGTGGAGGGACCCTCAGGATGTGCCCAGGAGGGGCTGGGGACGCTGCGACAGCACGCTTGGGCCAGAGCCCGTGGGCAGCGCTGAGCCGGACACCTCCTCTCGCCTCCTCCCGGAGCCCCGGGCTTGCACCCAGGCCCCGCCAGAGCTGCCCTGCTACCAGCTGCACTCGTGCCTGCAGCGGGGCATGCTGCCCTCGTACTGCTGCAGCACGTGCCGGCAGCTGCACGGCGGCGGCTGCGCCCTGGGCCGCGCCTGCCGCAGCCGGCACCGCGGGCAGGAGCTGCGCGGGGAGCGGCAGCAGCGCCTCTGGCTGCAGCGCAGCGAGCTGGACATGCTGCTGGCCAAGGGGCCTGCGCCCCGCTGCTGACACGGCTCTGCTGCCCCCGCGGGGGGCACGGCTGCTGCTTGGCACAAGGACCCGGACTTGTCAGCCCTGAGACAGCGGTGCCAGGCCCTGCCCAGCCCAGGCACTGCTGCTGTAAATTATTCAGTGCATCAGTAAAGTGGCTGTCTCAGCCTGGGGTGTTCTGTCCTGCTGAGGGGGATGTCTGTCCAGGGGCAGGGGCTGCAGTGACACCTGCCAGCACAGCACCCGCTCCTGCCTCCCTGAGGGTGGGGGGCAGGATCCACTGAAAGGGGGGCAGTCTTGTGACAAACCACCCATGTGTGAGGACATGAGGCTTGACTCCATTTTGCTCAGAAGGCTGATTTATTATGTTATATAATATACTAAAATACTACATTAAAACTACACTAAAAGTATAGAGAGAGAGGAAGGATCAGAAGGCTACAAAGACCAAGAATAGAATAGAATAGAATAGAATAGAATGCATAACAAAATCCTGTGACTGCTCACAGCCTTTGCAGAGGTGGCTGTGATTGGTCACTAACTGAAAACAATCCACATGGACCAATGGAAGATGCACCTGTTGCATTCCACAGCAGCACACAGTTATTGTTTACATTTCTTCCCTGAGACTCTCAGCTCCTCAGGACGGGAAAAATCCTAGGAAAGGATTTTTCATAAAATATCATGGCTACAGGGTAGAACCTCAGCTGTCATGGAGGTGTCCTTGTCCCCAGGGTGACACAGAGGAAGGACAGCAGAGTCACAGCTTGTCCCACTCCTGTTGGCACCAAAGAATGAGGTCACTCAGCACAATGTTGCCACTGCCAGATGTTTTTATTGATGGCAGAGTCGGGGTTGCCCCCACAGACAGCACAAACCAGGACCCGCCTGGGACAGGACTGACCCTGCCACGCCTGGGCATCCTGGGCCCCATCTCTCCTCTCTCCTGGCTCTGGGGCCACCCTCGCCCAGCCACAGCCTGCAGCCTGCCCCGTGCCACGCAGGCACAGGGATGGAGGAGCCGTCCCCGTGGCGCTGGGACTGGTGGGCTGAGGGAATCCACCTCAGCCAGGACACATCAGGGCTGCTCCAGGGCACAGCTCAGGGCTTGCTGCGCTTGGCCTGGCTCTCCATCGCCGTGCTGGCCGCCCGCTTGTTCCGGTGGTGTGGGAAGGTGGGCATCAGCTCTGGCTCACAGGCTGTGGGGCACAGAGAGGGGTCAGCAGGGCCCAAAGCCTCCCAGCCCAGCCCTGCCCCGCCCCAGGATGGGCAGTACTTACGCAAGGGCTTCTCTTTGAAGTAGGAACTCTCCAGGCAGTCCTTGGCCGTGGCCCTGCGGGGACAAGGGCAAGTGTCAGGGACCACCCCAGCCTGGGGGACAGCGTGGGGCAGGTTCCTGCCCTACCCACCCCGCATCCTGCATGGCTCTTACCTTTTCTTGGGGTCATACATGAAGAGGAAGTTGAGCAGTCGCAGCCCAGCCTCCGAGAGCCAGGGAAACCTGTGCTTCAGGTTGTTGTAGGGCTGTTTGCGCAGGGTGTACTGCGTGGCCAGCGGCAGCTTGGAGAAGCCCTGGGGGAAACAGAGGGTGAGGAGGGGCCTGGGAGCAGCCAGGGAGAAAGGACAATGGGAAATGGGCAGGGAGCTCTCACCGGCCAGATGTTGTCGTTGGGTGTGCCCAGGAGCTGCACGATGAGGTCGATCTGGTGGATCTCAGAGGTGCCTGGCAGCAGCGGTTTGTGTGCCAGCAGCTCGGCCAGGATGCAGCCAGCAGCCCTGCAGAGCACAGGAGCCTCTGGAGTGACCCCCCTGCAGCATGCAGCCCCCCAGCCCCCTCCAGGCAGGCTCAGGCCCCCCTCCCTTACCACATGTTGATGCTGGTGGTCTGGGTGGTCATGCCCAGCAGCAGCTCCGGTGCGCGGTACCTGTGCAGGGCACACGCGGGGTCAGAGCTGGCACAGCCCGTCCCACCCGGGAGAGAGACCCACCCTGCCACTGCCACTCACCACAGGGTCACCACTTTGGGGGTCATGGGCTTGGGGGGCATGCCGTAGGTGCGTGCCAGGCCGAAATCAGCTGCAACAGAGAGTGAGAGTCAGGAGGAGCCCAGCTGTGAGCTGCGGGCAGGGCACAGGGCAGCCACGGCCGGGTGCAGCTGCAGGACTCACCTATCTTCACACAGCCCTTGTCGGTCATCAGCAGGTTGGAGACCTTCAGGTCCCTGTGGGAAACAGCAGCTGGAGGTGAGAGACCACACAGAAAATGCAATCCCATCATTCCACACCTCCCTGCCCTGCCAGGGCTCCCAGGGCGTGGGAGGTGACCCCAGACACCCCTCTGTCCCCCAGCTCCACCCTGCCACTCCTACCTGTGGATGATGTAGTTCTCGTGGAGGTACTGCAGGCCCTTGAGCACCTGCAGGATGATGCACTTCACCTGGGGACAGAGGACAGGAGCCGTCACCTCTGAGGGAGCAGCACTGACTGGACAAACCCACACAGCCCAAACCCACTGGGGTGTCCTGCAGTCCCTCCCTTCCTGTGTCCTCCCAGGGGGTTCTAGATGGGCATTTCCTCCCAGCTCTGTTTCCCTGACAGTTTGCTCCAGCCCCAAACCCAGCCTGGAAAGTCCCTGAAGGCTTCACTGAGAGTCAGCAAAGCCCAGCTCCATCAGAATCCCTGGAATCCCCCAGCTCAAGGTCTGGGGAGCCCGTCACAGTGCCCACGTGTTTTGGCAGGAATGGCAGCACCCTCTCAGGGGTGCTGGACCCAAATCCTGCCCCACCCCGTACCTGAGCCTCGGAGAAGGGCGTTTGCATGTTCTCCAGGAGACTGGCCAGGTCCTGCTCGCAGTATCCCATCACCAGGAAAATGCTGTTGGACACAAGGTTAGGTCAGAGCCTCCCCAGGACAGCTGGGGCAGCCCAGGGCTCCAAGGAAGGCTTAGAAGGCAGAGGCAGGACAGACTCTCACCTCTCCAGGTGGTTTCCCACAACCACGTCCTTCAGCTCCACGATGTTGGGGTGCTGGAGCTGCAGGAGCAGGGTGATCTCCCGCAGGCTGCTGATGGGCATTCCTGGGGGAGGAATGTCAGTTCCCTTACCACATGTTGATGCTGGTGGTCTGGGTGGTCATGCCCAGCAGCAGCTCCGGTGCGCGGTACCTGTGCAGGGCACACGCGGGGTCAGAGCTGGCACAGCCCGTCCCACCCGGGAGAGAGACCCACCCTGCCACTGCCACTCACCACAGGGTCACCACTTTGGGGGTCATGGGCTTGGGGGGCATGCCGTAGGTGCGTGCCAGGCCGAAATCAGCTGCAACAGAGAGTGAGAGTCAGGAGGAGCCCAGCTGTGAGCTGCGGGCAGGGCACAGGGCAGCCACGGCCGGGTGCAGCTGCAGGACTCACCTATCTTCACACAGCCCTTGTCGGTCATCAGCAGGTTGGAGACCTTCAGGTCCCTGTGGGAAACAGCAGCTGGAGGTGAGAGACCACACAGAAAATGCAATCCCATCCTTCCACGCCTCCCTGCCCTGCCGGGATTCCCAGGGCGTGGGGGTGACCCCAGACACCCCTCTGTCCCCCAGCTCCACCCTGCCACTCCTACCTGTGGATGATGTAGTTCTCGTGGAGGTACTGCAGGCCCTTGAGCACCTGCAGGATGATGCACTTCACCTGGGGACAGAGGACAGGAGCCGTCACCTCTGAGGGAGCAGCACTGACTGGACAAACCCACACAGCCCAAACCCACTGGGGTGTCCTGCAGTCCCTCCCTTCCTGTGTCCTCCCAGGGGGTTCTGGGTGGGCATTTCCTCCCAGCTCTGTTTCCCTGACAGTTTGCTCCAGCCCCAAACCCAGCCTGGAAAGTCCCTGAAGGCTTCACTGAGAGTCAGCAAAGCCCAGCTCCATCAGAATCCCTGGAATCCCCCAGCTCAAGGTCTGGGGAGCCCGTCACAGTGCCCACGTGTTTTGGCAGGAATGGCAGCACCCTCTCAGGGGTGCTGGACCCAAATCCTGCCCCACCCCGTACCTGAGCCTCGGAGAAGGGCGTTTGCATGTTCTCCAGGAGACTGGCCAGGTCCTGCTCGCAGTATCCCATCACCAGGAAAATGCTGTTGGACACAAGGTTAGGTCAGAGCCTCCCCAGGACAGCTGGGGCAGCCCAGGGCTCCAAGGAAGGCTTAGAAGGCAGAGGCAGGACAGACTCTCACCTCTCCAGGTGGTTTCCCACAACCACGTCCTTCAGCTCCACGATGTTGGGGTGCTGGAGCTGCAGGAGCAGGGTGATCTCCCGCAGGCTGCTGATGGGCATTCCTGGGGGAGGAATGTCAGTGCTGCAGAAGGGCCTGGGGCCAGAGCCAGGACAGAGCCCCCCGTCCCCCCACTCCTCCATTACCATCCTTCTCATTGTCCATCCGCACCTTCTTCAGCGCCACTGTCTCGTTGGTCACCGTGTCCCGGGCTCGGTCTGGGGACAGCACAGCCCACGTTGGCACCAGGACTCACAGCTGCCTTTGTCCCGACCTCGCCTCGGCCCCCCGGCCCAGCCTCAGGGGGAGCTGCGTGAGCTTCAGGCACCTCCCGACCCAAACCGTGCTGGGATTCTACACGGGGCAAGGCTTCCCCCGGCAGAGGGCAGGGATGGACGGGGGATCCCTAAGGAACCCTCCCTAGGAGCCTGGGCAGGCCCTGGACCCCTGGCAGTGCCCAAGGCCAGGCTGGACAGGGCTCCGTGACCTCGAGGAAGGCATTTGGTAGCAGTGCCATCCCCACCCAGGGCAGGGGTGCAGCGCAATGAACTCGGGTCCCTCCCGGCCCCGCACGGCCCGCACTTACACACGATGCCGTACGTGCCCTCTCCGATCCGATTCAGCTTCTCAAACTCCTTCACGCTGCGGCACCGCCCCAGCTGAAACCAGAGAGCTGCGTTCAGCGGGGGCCGCCGCGAGGGCCCCTCAGCGGGACCCACACCCCGGGACCCACACCCCAGGACCCGCTGCACTCACCCGATCAGCCGCCGGAACCTCGAAGAAGCCGTCACCATGCAGCCGCCGCAGCCGCAGGGGCTCCAGCTCCGGCTCGGCCGCTCCCGGTGCCGCTCTTGGCTCCGCTCCCGCCTCAGTCGCTGCCATGTCCACAATGGCGAGGTCCGCCCTGCGCACGCGCGCTATTATGCTGCCTCAGGCCCCGCCCACCCTCAAGCCCCGCCCACACGCCTTGAGCCTCTAGAAACAGTTGTTAGCGAGGGACCAATAGCGACCCTGGCCCGGGATAGCCCCGCCCCCTCAATGACCCTTTCTCATCTAGGCCCCGCCCCTCATTGATTTTGTGGCCCCGCCCCTTCGCCTCCGACACCCCATGCTTTCCCGCTGACCACGTGACCTCTCCCCCTCTGCCGCGCTGTTGTTCTCGCGAGACTCAGCGCGCGCACCCCGGAAGCGGCGGCGGCGCCACCCGGAAGCGGCGGCAGAACCCGGAAGCGGCGGCGGGCAGGATGGACGGTACCGGGGGGTCGGGCGGTACCGGCGCCTCCCGGTGGGGCCGGGGCGGGTCCTGAGGGGTGCGGCTGGGGGTCAGGGTCGGGGCCGGGACTGGGACCGGGAAGGGTGGTCGGGACGTGTGGGCGGGGTCGCCGGTCCCGATCCCGGTGCCGGTGCCGTCGCTGAGCCTGTGCTCTCTTCCTTTCCAGACACGCTGTTCCAGCTGAAGGTGAGAGCAGCGGAGACCCTTCCGCCTCCTTTCATCCCGTCCCGCGTCCCGGGGCAGCCCCGGGCCCGGTTCCGCCGGCTCGGCCTCCCGGGGCTCGCCCTGCGGCGGGACCGTGAGAGGAGCAGGCGGGAGCGGAGGGGCCGCGGGCAGAGCGTCGGGCAGGGCGGCCGTGAGGGGCGGCGGGGTGGGCACGGGGGCACCGAGGGGAGCGGCTTCCCGGGGCAGGGGTGGGTTGGACCCTGGGAATTGGGAATTGGGAATGCCCGGCTGGCAGGGGGGCAGGCCTGGCACGGAGCCGGGGCTGCCCCGGGCAGGCTGGCAGTGGCAGTGCCCTGCCGGGCAGGGGGCTCCGGGTGGCCCCGGGGTGCCCCCAGCCCGGAGCTCTCCGTGCCCTCCCTGTCCCTGCCCCGCAGTTCACAGCCAAGCAGCTGGAGAAGCTCTCCAAGAAAGCAGAGAAGGACTCCAAGGCCGAGCAGGCCAAAGTCAAGAAGGTGCGTGGGGCTCACCGCGAGGTGCCCGGCGCTGGGGATCCCCGGGGTGGGCACGGGGCACACACAGTGTGTGTGCTGGGGTCAGCGCGGGCCGTGACCTGCCAGGAGCACACCGGGGTGGGCACGGGGCACATCCAGCCCTGGGGATGGCACTGCTTGGGTCACTGGGGCCCACGCCTGGCCAGGATCCCTGTGGGGTGGGCACGGGGCACACACAGTGTGTGTGCTGGGGTCACTGCAGGCTGTGCCCTGCCAGGATTGCTGTGGGGAGGGCACGGGGCACACCCAGCCCACAGCCAGGCTGGTGCTCAGGTCACTGCGGGCCGTGCCCTGCCGGAAGCACACCAGGGTGGGCACAGGGCACACCCAGCCCCGGGGATGGCACTGCTTGGGTCACTGGGGCCCATGCCTGGCCAGGATCGCTGTGGGGTGAGCACGGGGCACACCCAGCCCGGGGATGGCACTGCGGGGGTCACTGCGGGCTGTGCTCTGCTGGGATTGCTGTGGGGTGAGCACGGGGCACACCCAGCCCAGGGATGGCACTGCTCGGGTCCCCGTGGGCTGTGCCCTGCCAGGATCCCCTCGGGAGGGCACGGGGCACGCCCAGCCCCGGGGATGGCACTGCTGGGTCCCCGCGGGCTGTGCCCTGCCGGGAGCACACCGGGGAGGGCACGGGGCACACCCAGCCCCGGGATGGCACTGCTGGGTCCCCGCGGGCCGTGCCCTGCCAGGATTGCTGTGGGGAGGGCACGGGGCACACCCAGCCCGGGGATGGCACTGCTGGGTCCCCGCGGGCCGTGCCCCCGGGCCCCCGGCAGTCTGAGCGCGGCGCGGCCGCAGGCGCTGCAGCAGAAGAACGTGGAGTGCGCGCGGGTGTACGCCGAGAACGCCATCCGCAAGAGGAACGAGGGGCTGCACTGGCTGCGCATGGCCTCGCGCCTGGACGCCGTGGCCGCCAAGGTGCAGACGGCCGTCACCATGAAGGGGGTGAGTGCTGGGGACAGGGATGGGGAGAGGGGACAGGGGCTCCTGTGCCAGAAAGCTGCTTTATCATATTATATATAATATTATATATATACATTTTTTTACATACTTTTATATTTTTATTCACATAAGTGTATATATACATATAAATATATTATATATATTCTATATATGTATCTATAAATATATACATGTTTATAATATATATAATATATAATATAAATAATGATATATATAACATATATATTTATACAAATATATTTTTTTTATGTTTGATATATAATATAATTTATATAATGTATTATACATATATGTATTATAAAAATATATTAAAAATATATAATATAGCTATGATATTATTACATTATGTTATCATACATTATACATTATATATCATATATATTATATATAACAATAAAATATATATAGTATACATAATATATATAATACATATTATGTTATCATATGTATTATATATATGATAACAATATATTGTAGATATGATATATCTATATCTATCTATATATCTATCATATACATAATTATATATATTTTACAGGGCACACCCAGCCCGGGGATGGCACTGCGGGGGTCACTGCGGGCTGTGCTCTGCTGGGATTGCTGTGGGGTGAGCACGGGGCACACCCAGCCCAGGGATGGCACTGCTGGGGTCCCCGCGGGCTGTGCCCTGCCAGGATCCCCTCGGGAGGGCACGGGGCACACAGCCCACAGCCAGGCTGGTGCTGGGTCCCCACGGGCCGTGCCCTGCCAGGATTGCTGTGGGGAGGGCACGGGGCACACCCAGCCCGGGGATGGCACTGCTGGGTCCCCGCGGGCCGTGCCCCCGGGCCCCCGGCAGTCTGAGCGCGGCGCGGCCGCAGGCGCTGCAGCAGAAGAACGTGGAGTGCGCGCGGGTGTACGCCGAGAACGCCATCCGCAAGAGGAACGAGGGGCTGCACTGGCTGCGCATGGCCTCGCGCCTGGACGCCGTGGCCGCCAAGGTGCAGACCGCCGTCACCATGAAGGGGGTGAGTGCTGGGGACAGGGATGGGGACGGGGGAGTCGTGTGCCAGAAGGCGGGCTTGTTGTATTTTAGATAATATTTTATATGTATGTATATATGTATATATGTGTGTGTATATATATATATATACACAAAAGCGAGGGGACAGGGGCTCCTGTGCCAGAAAGCTGCTTTATCATATTATATATAATATTATATATATACATTTTTTTACATACTTTTATATTTTTATTCACATAAGTGTATATATACATATAAATATATTATATATATTCTATATATGTATCTATAAATATATACATGTTTATAATATATATAATATATAATATAAATAATGATATATATAACATATATATTTATACAAATATATTTTTTTTATGTTTGATATATAATATAATTTATATAATGTATTATACATATATGTATTATAAAAATATATTAAAAATATATAATATAGCTATGATATTATTACATTATGTTATCATACATTATACATTATATATCATATATATTATATATAACAATAAAATATATATAGTATACATAATATATATAATACATATTATGTTATCATATGTATTATATATATGATAACAATATATTGTAGATATGATATATCTATATCTATCTATATATCTATCATATACATAATTATATATATTTTATATACATAAAAATATATAAGAATATATTGTATATATAATATTTATTATATTATCATAATAATTTCTTTATACAAAATAAATTTCATATAATTTATATTATTTTGTTATATTATTTGTATAGTAATCTTTTACATAATTTATGTTGTTTTATTCTATTCTATTATGTATATTATATATATTCTATTCTGTTTTATTATATTCTATTTATTTATACAATAGATAAATAATATTTTATATTATAGAACTACACCAAAAAGCATAGAGAGAAAAGGATCCATCAGAAAGCTAGAAAAGAATAGAAAGAAATTATAGTAAAGTCTTGTGACTGCTCACAGCCTCAGCACAGGTGGCTGTCATTGGTCATGGAGCAAAAACAATTTCACATGCTGGGTGAACAATTCTCCAAATCACATTCCAAAGCAGCACAACGTGGAGAAGCTGAACCCTCCCAGCTCCTCAGGAGAAAAGATCCTGGCAAAAGGATTGTTCATAAAATTAAAATAGTTCTGTGGCAGGAAAGAGCCTCCAGCAGGGAGCTGGGAGCTCCATCCCCACGTGCAGCTTCCCCTCTCACTGCCCCCAGCCAGCCCCGCTGCCCCCGTGTCCCAAAACGACCCCAGCAGGGCTCCTGGGGGTCTGGGACCCCTCAGACAGGCTCCTCCTGCCTGGGACAGCGTCAGGACAGTGCAGGATTGGTCTGGAACCCCCAGAGCATTCCTGAAGGAATCTCCTCTTGCAGGTGACGAAAAACATGGCGCAGGTGACCAAGGCTCTGGACAAGGCCCTGAGCTCCATGGACCTGCAGAAGGTGTCGGCAGTGATGGATAAATTCGAGCAGCAAGTGCAGAATTTGGATGTTCACACGTCGGTGAGTGCCGGGCAGGAGAGGGGGTGGGACAGAGGGACCCCTGCCGCGTCTCTGGCCGGGCAGGGGGACAGGGCTGTGTCTGCCCCAGGTCATGGAGGACTCCATGAGCTCGGCCACCACGCTGAGCACGCCGCAGGAGCAGGTGGACAGCCTGATCGTCCAGATCGCCGAGGAGAACGGGCTGGAGATCATGGACCAGCTGAGCCAGCTGCCCGAGGGCGCCGCGGCCGTGGGCGAGAGCTCCGTGCGCTCCCAGGAGGACCAGCTCTCCCGGAGGTCGGTTCTCTCCCAGCCCTGGGCACTTCCCTGCTTCCCACATCCCCCTGGCCTGGAGGGGAGGGGTTGGCCCTTCCTGGGGGCTCAGAGGGGTCCCTGGCCACGCTGGCCGGGGCTGCTCCTGCTGCCCTGACCTGGCTCCCCCCTGCTGCTGTCCTGCAGGCTGGCTGCCCTGCGGAACTGAGCTCTCCCTGGGCCTGTGGATGGCACTGCTGGAGCAGGACCCCCTCCTGCAGCCACCTCGGGACTCTTCTCGGGGGGTGACAGCCCTTCCCTGAGCCTGCGGCCATCCTGGTGGGAATCCTGTGCTGGACTGTGGGGGTTTCGTTTGGGGGTGCTGCTGGTGGCAGAGCCCCACGTGCTGACTAAGGGGAACACTAAGGGGATTTCCCTGCTCTCGGGATGCTGCTCCCCAACTCCTCTGTTGTTCCCTGTCCCTGCCCAGAGCTGAGCTGTGGGCCGAGTTCCTCAGGAGCTGGCTGGGAGGGGCAGGAGAGCCCCCCGGGGTCCCCATCTGCGGGAAGGGCCGCGTGCCCGGCTGTGGAGCTGGGGAGGTCGGTGCCTTGCAGGAAGGGGCGGTGACAGCGGGGTGTCCCCTCCCTCGCTGTCGCTGTCCCCGTGCCCTTTGCTGCTCCGTGTCCCGCCGGCCGACACCCCCAGCCCCATACCACGAAGTGCCCTTTGGAACACCCTCCCCTGCCCAGCCCCGTGCGTGTCAATCCAGAGATTCCCCAGGCACTGCCAGCTGGAAGTGGTTATCCCGGCCCTGAGTGCCAGTTCAGACCAGTTCAGACCCTTGTCCAGCCCTGGGAGTGGCTTGCAGCAGCCGTGGTGGCTGCAGACGTGTCCCCAAATGTCCCCCTGCTGGGTGGGTGTGACAGGGAATGCAGAACCATCCCGGGAGCAGCTCTGCCTCCATCGCTGTGCTCTGTCCCCTGGCTGCTGGCACCGGGCTGCTCTCCGTGTCCCCTCCCACTGCTCGTCCCTGTCCCTTGTCACCTTCCCCCGGGGCCGGAGCTGTTTGTGCCCCACCCTGCGGAGCTGCTGGGTTGCTGGAAGCCCTCCAGGAAGGAAGCGCAGTTTCCTTTGGGTCTCCCAGCAGGAACTGTCGCCTCTGGGGGATGTCACGGGGCCACCTCCCGGCACAAACACTTCCTGCTGCGTTGATTGTTTTTCCTGAGTTCAGTGGCCTTGGAGCATGTGGCTGGTGACACTGAGCCTTCCTCGCCACCGAGGAGGAGGAGGAGGCAGCTTTGGGCTGCAGCAGAGCACTGGATCCTGTCCCAGCTCCCACTGGGCTGGGTGGGAAGCTGGGGGACCCTGGAGGTTTGTGCCTGGCTCCTGGCTCCCTGCACGGTGTCCCCGCAGCACTGGGGGCTCCAGACCTGCCCCTGTCCCTCTCCCGAGCTGTCTCTGTGGTTTCATTGGTGGGGTTTTTTTAAGCTTGTCTTATTTGCCTTCTTTTTGCCCAAACCGTGTCCGTGCCCTTGACACTGAGCCTTCCTCGCCACCGAGGAGGAGGAGGAGGCAGCTTTGGGCTGCAGCAGAGCACTGGATCCTGTCCCAGCTCCCACTGGGCTGGGTGGGAAGCTGGGGGACCCTGGAGGTTTGTGCCTGGCTCCTGGCTCCCTGCACGGTGTCCCTGCAGCACTGGGGGCTCCAGACCTGCCCCCGTCCCTCTCCTGAGCTGTCTCTGTGGTTTCATTGGTGGGTTTTTTTTAAGCTTGTCTTATTTGCCTTCTTTTTGCCCAAACCGTGTCCGTGCCCTTCTGTGGGTTTAAATAAACAATCTCTGAACACCCCGGTGTGTGTTGGGGGTGTGGATGCACACGAGCTCTGTGGTCCCCGTGTCTCATCGTGTCCCCTGCCCTGTGACAGGACCTGCTGCCAGGGGCTGCCCTGGAGCTGAGGAGGAGGAAGGGACTGCTCTTCTTCCCAGAGCCTCTGCCCATCCAGGAGCTGGGAGGTGGCTCGGGGTGATTCTGGAGGGCGAGGACACCCCCCTTCCCCTGCTGCAGGGACCTGTCCCTTTCGTGTGGCCAAACAGGGGGACCAGAGTGAGCAGGAGCTGGGAGCAGCTGGAACCCGGCTCCCTTCCCCTCTAGGGCTGGGCCAGCCCAGCTCCCTGCCCCGTTCCCCAGCCCTCGAGGGGACACCCCGGGCTTGTCACCGCACCGAGGTGGCACCGCACCCATCCTGCCATCAGCACCTGCCCTCAGCAGCCTCGCTGCCAGGGACGGGCTGCGGGGGTGAGGGTGCAGCCTTCCCTTCCCTGTTCCTTTTCCTGTCTCTTCCCTGCTCCCGTCCCTTCCCCATCCCCATCCCTTGCCTGTCCCCCTCCCTGCCCCGTGCCCGGCTGGCAGACGGGCGCTGCGCCTCAGCCAAACCCCGGATGCCACAGGAAGATGGCTCTCCTTCTCCTGCCTGTTCTGCCGCCTCCGCGTCCCTGTCCTTTTCCTGTCTCTTCCCTGCTCCCGTCCCTTCCCCATCCCCATCCCTTGCCTGTCCCCCTCCCTGCCCCGTGCCCGGCTGGCAGACGGGCGCTGCGCCTCAGCCAAACCCCGGATGCCACAGGAAGATGGCTCTCCTTCTCCTGCCTGTTCTGCCGCCTCCGCGCCAAGACAGGCTGTTCCTGAATGCGAGAGGAAATTGCTAAGGAGATAATTAAGTAGCCAATTAATTAGCTAATGATTAATGGAAGCATCCTGCGGAGGCAGCTCCGCAGCCGCCCTGGCCAGGTGTCGCCGGGATGTGTCACTCCCGGTGCGGTGACAGCTTCCCGGTGTGCCGGGGCGGGCAGCGCCGGGACCCCGCTGCTCTGCCCCGCCGGTGCCGGGCCGGGCCGGCCGGTGCCATGCCGGGCCGGTGCCATGCCGGGTGGCCGGTGCCATGCCGGGCTGGCCGTGCCATGCCGGGTGGCCGGTGCCGTGCCGGACTGACCGGTGCCATGCCGGGGGTCCCAGCATCTCCCGGCAGGGCCCGGCGGGGGTGGCGCGGGTCCCGCGGAGCCGCACACGGACGCTCGCTGCCGGCGCTGCTCGAGCCACGGTTTTATTTTGCCAGCAGGTCCGGCAGAAAGGAGCCCAGGATCGTGCCCCGCCCGGCGGCCCCGGGCACGGTGCCAGGGCCACGGTGGCAGCCAGGTGCTAGGAGAGCACGGCGAGGAGCGGGGCCAGTGCCAGCGCCAGTGCCAGGGCTGCCGGCGGGCGCAGGGCAGGACTGGCACCATTGGAGTACCCGTAGCTGGTTCTGCACGGCCCCTCCAGCTCCTCGAAGGCGATGGGGGTCTCGAGGGGAGCCGTGCCCTGCAAGCTCCTCTTCACCTGCCGTGGGGACAGGGTGGGCTCCCGCTGTGAGGGGCAGCGCCCGTCCGCACGGAGCCCCTGCCACCCCACACGTCCCTGTGCCACCCTACATGTCCCTGTGCCACCCTACATGTCCCTGTGCCACCCTACATGTCCCTGTGCCACCCTACATGTCCCTGTGCCACCCTACATGTCCCTGTGCCATTTCACTTCCCTGTGCCACCCTGCATTTCCCTGTTCCACCCTACATGTCCCTGTGCCACCCCACATATTCCTGTGCCACCCTACATGTCCCTGTGCCACCCTGCACCTTCCTGTGCCAACTCGCATTTCCCTGTGCCACCCTGCACGTCCCTGTGCCACCCTGCACTTCCCTGTGCCACCCCACATGTCCCTGTGCCACCCTGCACCTTCCTGTGCTAACTCGCATTTCCCTGTGCCACCCTGCACTTCCCTATGCCACCCTGCACTTCCCTGTTCCACCCCACATGTCCCTGTGCCACCCTACATGTCCTTGTGCCACCCTGCACTTCCCTGTTCCACCCCACATGTCCCTGTGCCACTCTACATGTCCCTGTGCCACCCCGCATGTCCCTGTGCCACCCCACACCATCCCATGCACGTCCCTGTGCCCCACGTGTCCCCGTGCCTCCCTGTGTCCCCACAGATTCCCGAGTGCCACACGCCCTGATGTTCCACCCGTGTCTGCTGCCCCAAGTGTCCCTGTGCTACGTGTCCCCATGTCCCACACGTCCCCAGTCCCGATGCTCCCAGTGCCACCCGTGTCCCCTGCCCTGTGCCTTCCTGTGCCCCGTGCCTCCCTGTGCCCTGCCCACCTCCTCCACTCTGCTGAAGACCCGCAGCAGGTTCTCAGCCAGGGCTGCCTTCACCTCCTCCTCCGTCCAGTTCCTCGCCAGCAGCTCGGCCACCAGCGCCGGATACTTGGAGACGTCCTCCAGGCCAGTGGGGACCCTGTGCCACCCCGCATGTCCCTGTGCCACCCCACACCATCCCATGCACGTCCCTGTGCCCCACGTGTCCCCGTGCCTCCCTGTGTCCCCACAGATTCCCGAGTGCCACATGCCCTGATGTTCCACCTGTGTCTGCTGCCCCAAGTGTCCCTGTGCCACGTGTCCCCATGTCCCCATGCCCCCAGTCCCGATGCTTCCAGTGCCACCCGTGTCCCCTGCCCTGTGCCTCCCTGTGCCCTGCCCACCTCCTCCACTCTGCTGAAGACCCGCAGCAGGTTCTCAGCCAGGGCTCCCTTCACCTCCTCCTCCGTCCAGTTCCTCGCCAGCAGCTCGGCCACCAGCGCCGGATACTTGGAGACGTCCTCCAGGCCAGTGGGGACCCTGTGCCACCCCGCAGCTCACAGCAGGGCCACCCCCAGCTGCCCACACAGGGCAGGAAGCGCCCGTGGTGGGGACTGTCCCACACCTTCACCCCTTACCCTGGCACCCCGTCGTAGTCCCCCCCGAAGCCGACAGCCTGGGCACCGGCCACCTTCTTCACGTAGTCCAGGTGGTCTGGGGGGACAGCGGGGTGAGCAGGGCAGGGGGGTCACTGCCACCCCCTGCCACCCGGGCACCCCCTCACCTGCGACGTCGGACAGCTTGGCCTTGTCACTGCAGGTCACGTAGGCGTTGTAGAAGTTGACCATCACCAAGCTGCCCGTGGAGTTCTGGGGGGAACAGCCCTGAGCCCCCGGCCCCCCAGAGCCCCCCGCTGTCCCTGCCCTGTGCCCCCACGCTCACCACCAGCTGCAGCACGTCGTCGGGCACGTTGCGGCGGTGCTGGCAGAGGCTGAAGGCAGAGGAGTGGCTGAAGATGACGGGGGCTTTGGAGATGTTCAGCACGACCTTCATGGTGTCCACTGAGACGTGGGCCAGGTCCACGATCATGCCCAGGCGGTTCATCTCCTCCACCACCATCTACAGGGACAGGGGACAGGGCTGGGGGGTGCACGGGAGGGGTCTCCTCTGGGGGTGTCTGGAGCTGCTTGGGTGGATTTTGGCTGGTGGGACAGAGGGAGGGATGGATGGATGGATGGATGGATGGATTGATGGATGGATGATGGATGGATGGATGGATGGATGGATGGATGGATGGATATGATGGATGGATGATGGATGGATGATGGATGGATGATGGATGGATGATGGATGGATGAATGGATGGATGGATGGATGGATGATGGATGGATGGATGGATGGATGGATGGATGATGGATGGAACACTGCACCCAGCATGGGGCCAGTGGGTGCCAGTACCACATTCCTCCAATGCCACTGCCCCTGGACACCACTGCTGATGCTGTTCCTCACCTTCCCAAAGGGTGAGAGGCCGTGGTGCACAGGATTTTCATCGTTGGTGTCCACCAGCCAGTTGTCAGCCCTGCAGAGCAGGGAGAGCATCAGAGTGGCCACACCTTTGATCACACTCCCCCATGCCAGCACTGCCACCCTCCATGTCCCGGGGGTCCTACCAGGGGGTGTTGCAGCTGTGGGTGAGGGTCATGTAGCGGGCACCCAGGCGGTAGAGGGTGCGCAGGACGCCCAGGCTGCTGTCGATGGAGTGGCCGCCCTCCACCCCGATGAGGCTGGCCACCTTCCCGTTCCGGAACGCCTCCCGGATTCCTGCGGGACAGCAGGGACGTCAGCGGGGGCGGGCAGGCCCGTACCCCCCCGGTGCCCGGTCCCGGTGCCCGCTCACCGTTGCTGTCGGTGACGCAGGCGAAGGTCTCGGGGTACATGTCACACATGCGCTGCACCACGTCCATCTGCTCCAGCGTGCGCCGCACCGCGTCCTTGTTCTGCGTCTCGCAGGGCACGTACACCGACCAGAACTGCGCGGGCACCCGGCCAGCATGGGCATCCCGTCAGCAGGGGCACCCCGACAGCACGGGCATCCCGTCAGCAGAGGTGCCCCATCAGCATGGGTACCCCGCCAGCACGGGCACCCGGCCAGCATGGGCACCTCATCAGCAGTGACACCCCATCAGCAGGGGCTCCCCATCAGCACAGGCACCCCGTCAGCAGGGGAACACTGTCAGCACAGGCACTGCCCACCCTGCTGCCCACCCCACTGACCTCCCCGCTGCCCACCCCACTGCCCACCCCCGTGTCTCTGACAGTCCTGCTGTCCCAAGAGCCCCAGTGCTGACCCTGGTGCCCTCACTGGTGCCCCTGCCCTCCCCAGTGCCCACCCTGGTGCTCCCACCTGCCCGCCCACGTGGCCCTGGCGCAGTTTGGGGATGTTGGTGTGGGTGTCGTTCAGCACTGTCAGGTTGGCTGCTGGCAGCCTCAGCTGGTTGTTGAACTTGCGGAGGAGCTGCCAGGGCAGGTCGTTGTGCCTGGGCAGGGACAGGGTGGGCACTGAGGAGTGGCCTGACCCTCTGCCCACTCGCCCTCAGGCTGCTCACCCCCCTGGCTGGCCACACACACAGTCCCTTCATCTGGCTGTCATTCCATCCATCCATCCATCCATCCATCCATCCATCCATCCATCCATCCATCCATCCATCCTCCACCCCCCTGAGTCCGTCTGTCCACCCTCCTGTCCCCTCAGCCAAAAGCCACCCAAGCAGTTCCAGCCCAGATCTGGAGACAGGCCATGGGGACAGTGCCATGTGGGACCCCCGGAGGACCCTCCCCTGCACCTTTCCAACCCATCATCGCCCTCACACCCCGGGGAGCCAGCCCAACACCCCTTCCACAGGGGTGCCACCGCAGGGACATCCTGGCACGCACATCCCACACCCAGCCGCGCCCCTGGGGAAGTGGCAGGTCCTGGCTGGGTGCCACTTCCTGCTCCTGTCATGCCCCTGTCGCAGTCCCACATCCCCCAGCTGCCCTGCCCTCCCCCTGCTCCAGCGGCACAGCCCTGCTCCTCAAGGGAATGCTGCAGGGAACCGGAGCCTCCTGAGGGCCCCGAGAGGGACAGGGACATCACTCAGGGCCGAGCAGGAACTTCCCCCAGCGCAGCCTCACCCCGGCTTCCCGGTACCCTGCCAGCTCCCGCTGCGTGGGGATCCCCTCGGTGCACTGGCGGTCCCGCGGGATCCCCGGGAAAGCTGAGCCCTGTCCCCGCACAGCCCCGGGGTGCCCGGGCCGGAATCCCCCAGCGGGCTGTCCCAGCAGGGTTTCCCAGCTGGGGTTTTCCCACAGAGAGGGAGCAGCGGCGGGGCCGGGTGACCTTTGCTCACCCATCGATGACCGGCGTGGTCCTCATGATGCGCTCGGCCTCCTCCAGGTGCTGCTGTCCAGTGCTGGGCAGCGCCAGCGCCAGCACCAGCGCCAGCACCCGCACGCTCCCGCCTGGCATCTTCTCCTGCTGGGTGCTGCTGGGGACAAGGGGGGACCTGCCACCACCGTGAGAGCACACGCACTGGGATGGCCGCCCCGCGCTGCTCCGTCCCCTCCCGCCGTCAATGAGTAACCAGGAGAGCCGCGTTACCCCTCCCTGCGTGCCCTGTGCCCGCTTGGCACTGCCAGGGCTCCGCGGCCTCCCCCAGCCCGGCCCGGTGGCTCTGCCGTGCCTCGGCCTCTCCTCCGAGCCGCGGGGACGCTCCCAACCCGTCTAATGAAGCCCAGATTTTTTGGGGTTGGGAAAGCGCCAGTCCCATCCTCTCCTCCCCGGCGCCCCCAGTTCAGCACTGGCACCCGCAGCATCCCCGGCACCCCCCGGCCCGCTCACCCCGGCCCCGGGACACTCGGGCAGTCCCTGTCTGCGACGGCTGTGAATTAACTTTTCCGGCTTGCGTGCGGTGACGGGGCTGGGATGGGCTCCAGCCACCCCAGAGCCACCCCCTGCCATGGCGCCGGAGCTGCCACATGCCCGGGGGCGAGCAGCCGGGGTGGCACGGCCGCCGTGTGGGGCTGCTGCTGGTCCTCCGTGCGCGCTTGCATCCCCCACACTCCGGTCCGGCTGAAGCGTCCCGAGGGGAAACTGAGGCACGGCTGTCCTGCGGATGCTGCGCATCGCTGCTGGCTCCAGCTGCGGTGTCCTTCCCGGCAAGGCCTTGGTGGGGCTTCTGGGAATGGCACGGGGCCGGTCCAGCAGGACACCTCATCCTGGGCTGCGCTGGGACGGGAGCCCCGTGCTCCGGTGCCAGCCCTGGGGAGATCGGGGTGGGCACGCTGTGGGGCTGGCATCGCTCGGCATCCCGGCCCCCGGCCCGAGGTGACGCGGCCCCCACTTTTCTCCCGGCTGCGCGGTGGCTCTGGCACGGGAGGGCTCCCATCCCATCCCACCCATCCCGGGTGTCTCCAGCCCCTGCCAGCAGCTCTCCCGGCGATGGCCCCCGCTCGGATTCCCGGCTCCCCGGCAGGAATGTGCCGGGGGGTTCCGGCCCCCCGCCCGCCGGGGCCGCTTCCTCTTTCAGCGCTATTTAAGCGGCTCCGGGCGCGTCCCGCCCGGCCGGGCCATGGAGCGCATGGAGGTGACCGAGACCTTCGCGGGCATCGCCCTGCCCGGCCACCTCCACACCCAGGAGTCCCTCGGCTTCGCTGCCGCCTTCACCTTCCGCCCCACGGACGTGCTCATCGCCACCTACCCCAAATCGGGTGAGGGCACGGGGGGACACGGGGACAACGAGGGGATGGGGCTGGGAGCCCGGGCTGGAGCGGGGAGCTCTGCCGGGGCCGGGAGATGGCCGGGCTTGGGGACACCCGGACCTGGTGCCCGCGGCCGCTCCTCGGCACAGCACGGGGACCCTCCTCGGGAGTCCTGCCCGAGCCCCTGTCCTGCTGCCCTGCTGTCCCCTGCCCCAGACTGGTGTCCCTGGGGCTCAGGGATGGGGACACGGCACCGCCAGCCCAGCCACTGGTGCGGGAGGGGTCGGGATGGGACAGGATGGGCTGAGCCGTGCCAGTGCAGTGCCATGATGTGCCATGCCATGCCATGCCGTGCCGTGGCCCTGCCCTGACACCCCCCTCTGCAGGCACCACCTGGATGCAGGAGATCCTGACGCTGCTCTTCAGCCTCGGCGATGCCCGCCCGGCCAAGACCATTCCCAACTGGGAGCGGGCGCCGTGGCTGGAGCAGATCTACTGCCGGGAGGCTCTGCGGGACGGCGAGGGCCCGCGGCTGCTCACCACGCACCTGCCCGCGCCCGTGCTGGCCCCCGCCCTGCAGCGCAGCCGGGCCAAGGTCAGGGGGGTCCCTGCAGGGACATCCCGCACCCACAGCCGGGAAACGCCGGGGGATTTCCGAGCGGGCAGAGGGGATCCCCCAGCCGTGGGGGTGACACTGCGTCCCTGCAGGTGATCTACGTGGCCAGGAACCCCAAGGACGTCGCTGTCTCCTTCTACCACTTCCACCACCTGGCCAAGTTCCTGCCCGACCCCAGCTCCTTCGATGCCTTCCTGACGCAGTTCCTCGAGGGCACAGGTAGGGATTGGGGGAGTCTGGGGGGGGCACTCAGCCTCGGGGCCCCCCGTCACCCCCTGACTCCCCCCAGTGCACTACGGCTCGTGGTTTGACCACGTCAAAGGCTGGCTGCGCCAGCGGCACCTCCTGGACATCCTCTATGTCACCTACGAGGAGCTGCACCAGGTGAGCCCCGCTCTGTCCCCGTCCCTGTCCCCGTGCCCGGTGCCCGGTGCTGACGGTGCTCCCGCAGGACCTGCGTGGCACGGCGCAGCGCCTCAGCAGCTTCCTGGGGTGCCCGCTGGCCCCGGGCACGCTGGCAGCCCTGGAGCAGCACTGCAGCTTCTCCGCCATGCGGGACAACGCCATGGCCAACTACTCGCTGATCCCCGCCGAGATCATGGACCACAGCCAGGGCCGCTTCATGCGCAAGGGTGAGGGGCGGCGGGGGGCGGCGGGGCCCCGCGGGGGCAGGAGCCCTGACTGCTGTCCCCGCTGTCCCGCAGGGGTGGTGGGGGACTGGCGCAGCCACTTCTCCCCCGAGCAAAACGCCCTCTTCAACCGGCGCTACCAGGAGGAGATGGGGGACACGGAGCTGCCATCGCAGTGGCCCATGGCCTGAAGGGTCTGGGGGCACTCTGAGCCCCCAGCTGCTGAGAACCACCACACGGAGACCCTGCAGGGCGCCCCAAACCCCCCCTGTGTCACCCACGGGGCTGGGGGTCTGGCGGGGGCCAGGCACGGTCTCTCCTCCCTGGGCGTGGGGAACTTTTCCGGCCAGGCATTGTGGCCATCCCCGCGGCCTTGCTCCCCCGGCCGGGGACGTGTGGCCGTGACCCCTCCTTCCTCCCAGCCCGCCCTGCGGAAATAAATATTTATTGCCGTTCCCAGGCAGGCAGCTGCTCCCGCGGGGGAGGCGGGAAGCAGCGCCGGCGGCGGGGAGAGCTGCTCTTATCAGGAGCACATCGGGGTGGGGACGCATCCCCGGGGACATCATTAACGGCCGGGGGCAATGACCGGGGGGACAGCACGGGCCGGGCGGGGTCGCAGCGCGGCGACAGGGCTTGCCAGCACCGCCCGGGGCACGGAGCCGGCTCCTTCAGCAGGACTCAGGGCCCGCCACCCCGGAGCCTCCCTCCCAGCAGATCCCCTTCCAGTGCCCCTGCCCCGAATACCCCGTGGGATGCTCCCCCCGCCCATGTCCCCTGCTGGGCTGTTTGCACCGAGGGGCTTGTTCCACCCCCAGCACGCTGGGGTCTCCCCGGCAGCCCGAGCCCCCAGCCCCTGTCCTGCCATGCTCCAAGGAATTGCTCTGTGGAGCCCCCGGCCAGCAGAGGCTCAGTCAATGATGAATTGGCTATCTTACCCTGCCCCTGCAGGGTGAGCAGTGTGGGGGCTTGGCCCACCCTGATGTGACCCTCCTTGGGCCCTGTGGCACTGTGGGACAGTGGCACCAGCATCCTGCCACTCCTGCCCCTCTGCTAGCCGTGTCATCCCTGCCACCTCTGCCGGTGGGGACAACCCAGTGTGGTGGCTCTGGGCGCTCCCAGCCCCGGGGGTCCCTCTGCACCCAGCCTGGGGTTCCCGCTGTCCCCAGGGGTTGGGTGCCAGGGTTGGGGCAGCCTGAGCGGCAGGTTTGGGTTTCCACGGCAACACCCAGGATCCCGCCCGCCGCAAAGGGATGAATCAGAGCTATAAATAGGGGCTGAATGGGGGGGCGGGCACCGCGCCCCTGCCCCTGCCTTGTGCTCCCAAGGGCCGGCAGAGCTGTCCCGGAGTGCCACCCACACGGGGCCAGCCTGGCACCTGTCCCTGCGCCCAGGGAGGTGGCAGCATCCTGGAGCCCAGCTCGGTGGCACCTGCACGGCGCTCCCAGGCTGCCCCTGCCCCGTGAGGCTGTGCCAGGCCCCAGCCCAGTCCCCGTGGTGGCCTTGGGCACACCCTGCCCCTGGGGATGTCACCTGGCCAGGAGCATCTGCTGGCACCACGCTGGCAGCATCAGCACACAGCACGTGGCAGGAGAGTGGCACAGTGCCCAGCACGTGGCACATGGCACATGGCATAAAGAACATGGCACGTGGCACATAGAACATGGCACAAGGCACATGGAACATGGGCTCAACACATGGCACAGGGCACACGGAACATGGCACAAGGAACATGGCACACAAAACACGTCACATGACAAATGGCACATGGCACAGGGAACAAAACAAGGCACACAGCATGTGGCACACGGAACAGACATGTGGGACATGGCACACATGGCATGTGGCACACGGAACAGGAACGTGGGACATGGCACACAGGGCATGTGGCACATGGAACAGGCACGTGGGACATGGCACACAGGGCATGTGGCACACAGTACACATCACAGGTGATGGCGGTGCATGGCCCATGGCACATAGAACAGGATTCACACACACAGCACACACATGGCACATGGAACACAGCTGGGGACACACGGTGCATGGGGTGTGGCACATGGCACAGGGCACATGGCACACGGCACAGAGTACATGGCATGTGTCTCAGGGCACACGGCACATGTCTCAGGGCAAACAGCACATGGCACAGGGCACATGGCACATGGTACATGACACATGTCTCAGGGCAAACAGCACATGTCTCAGGGCACACAGCACATGGCATGTGTCTCAGGGCACACAGCACATGGCACAGGGCACACAGCACATGGCACACGGCACAGGGCACACAGCACATGGCACATGTCTCAGGGCACACAGCACATGGCACAGGGCACACAGCACATGGCACGTGTCTCAGGGCACACAGCACATGGCACATGTCTCAGGGCACACAGCACATGGCACACGGCACAGGGCACATGGCACATGGCCGTGTGCCGGGCAGCAGGGCCCGCTCCGTTGCCGCTCTCCCCGCTCCGTGCCCTGGATCCGTGCCCTCAGAGCCGCGGCTGCCCCGGCGCTCCCGGCTCGCTGCCCCCAGGGACACCAAAACGGGGCTGCCCCCGGCGCTTGTCACCGCACGGTGACACCGCGAGGGGACACGGCAGCACCAGGGGCTGCCAGCCTCTGCACCCACCCCCAGTGACCCCTGCAGGGTGGGGTCGGCGCCCAGAGAGCAGGAGGATGCACAGGGGGTGCTTTATTGGGGGGATCATGCAGCCTCCAAACATCGCGGTGACAGAAGCGGGGGGACCGAGGGGACAGCAGGGGACAGCAGGGGTGGGTCCCACAGGGCACAGACCACCGGGAGCGAGCAGGGCTGGGGTGTCCTGCACTGGGGCTGGGGGGGCTGTGGCAGGGCAGGGCCTGGCGGGGACCCCGCGTGTCCCCAGGCCCCACCGGGAGAGCAGGGGGGTCACTGGGGCACGTTGGGACTGGGGCCGGGGCCTTCACTGGGGCAACCAAAGCTGGGGGCACTGGGGGTGTCTCACAGGGGGACTGAGGCTGGGCTCGGGGGTCCCTCACTGCGGGGAGCCCAGGCTGGGGTCGGGCGTGGGGGGCCGGGGGCAGCGCGGGGGGAAGGCCTTGTAGCTGTAGTACTCCACCACCTGCTTGGGCACCTCCGCCAGCACGCACTTGGCCAGGGCTGTGGGTGACGCCTGGGGACACGGGACAGCGGGCTGAGCCGCGGGCACCGGGACACCGGACACCGGGACACCGGACACCGGGACACCGGACACCGGGACACCGGGCTGAGCCGCGGGCACCGGGACACCGGGACACCGGGACACCGGGCTGAGCCGCGGGCACCGGGACACCGGGACACCGGACACCGGACACCGGGCTGAGCCGCGGGCACCGGCTCTCCCTGCGCCCCGCGTGCGGAGGGGACGGGAGGGAAGAGATGGATGGGAGAGGGAAAGAGGGGACGGGAGGGGATGGAAAGGGGTGGGAGGGAACGGGAGGGGACAGGAGGGGAGGGAAGGGCCAGAGGGGCAGGCGGGGGAAGGCAGGACCTCGTCGCCGCCCCACTCACGTTCTTGAACTCGCGGAACGGGACGAACTGGACGATGTCGCGCAGGACGGGCTCGCCCTTGGGGGAGCGCAGGACGCCGTCGTCCCCGTCCAGGATCTGCATGTCCGTGAAGTCGGCGTTGCCCACGCCGACGATGATGATGGACATGGGCAGGTAGGAGGCGCGGACGATGGCCTCCCGCGTGTCCGCCATGTCCGTCACCACCCCGTCCGTCAGGATCAGCAGGATGAAGTATTGCTGGGGACAGGGATGGGGGATTGCTGGGGGACACAGGGATCAGGGATTGCTGGGGACAGGGATCAGGGATTGCTGGGGACAGGGATGGGGGATTGCTGGGGAACACAGGGATGAGGGATTGCTGGGGACAGGGAGGAGGGATTGCTGGGGACAGGGAGGAGGGATTGCTGGGGGACAGGGATCAGGGATTGCTGGGGGACACAGGGATCAGGGATTGCTGGGGGACAGGGATCAGGGATTGTTGAGGGACACAGGGATGGGGGATTGCTGGGGACAGGGATGGGGGATTGCTGGGGACAGGGATGGGGGATTGCTGGGAACAGGGATCAGGGATTGCCGGGGGACAGGGATGAGGGATTGCTGGGGGACACAGGGATCAGGGATTGCTGGGGGACACAGGGATGAGGGATTGCTGGGGACAGGGAGGAGGGATTGTTGGGGGACACAGGGATAGGGGATTGCCGGGGGACAGGGAGGAGGGATTGCTGGGGGACAGGGATGGGGGATTGCTGGGGACAGGGATCAGGGATTGCTGGGGGACAGGGATCAGGGATTGCTGGGGGACACAGGGATGGGGGATTGCTGGGGGACACAGGGATGAGGGATTGCTGGGGGACAGGGATCAGGGATTGCTGGGGGACACAGGGATCAGGGATTGCTGGGGGACACAGGGATCAGGGATTGCTGGGGGACAGGGATCAGGGATTGCTGAGGGACACAGGGATCAGGGATTGTTGAGGGACACAGGGATCAGGGATTGTTGAGGGACACAGGGATGGGGGATTGCTGGGGACAGGGGTGAAGGAGTGCTGGGGATGCTCGGGGGGCTGCCTGACCCCGCTGCCAGCCCCACATGGAGCAGCCACAAGCGTCTCGAGTGTGCAGGCTCTGAGGCCAGCCCCGGGGGCAGAGGGACCCACCGAGGCCTCCTTGGTCCGCTCCTCGTCGGCCGCCACGCGAGCCACCTTGGAGATGATGGGAGCCACGTTGGTGGGGCCGTAGAGCTGGATTTTGGGCAGGCAGCTCTGGTAGGACTCCACGACGCCCTGGATGCCTGTGGGGGGTGCGAGGGGTGAGGGGCATCCCAGCCGTGGATCCGGCCCCGCTGGAGCTGGACTCACCCTCACACTCGTCATTGTCGGGGTTGAAGTTGATGGCGAAGTCGTGGGAGACCTGGAGGGAGGGAGGGAGGGGAGGGGGCAGCTGGTGCACCCCCTACCACAGCCCCCAGCGTGGGGCTGTGCCACAGCCGAGGGTCCCCAGAGGGACGAGCACATCCCCAGGGTCCCACAGGGCCCTCACCTCGTACTTGGGGGGGATCCTGGCGCCAAAGCCCAGAGCTGAGAACTTCTTATCGCTGCAAGGGAAGGGGTGTGAGGAGCTCTGGGGCCAGCACTGAGTGCCTGTCACCCGCAGATCTCACCCCGAGGTGGTGCCACCAGTGTGTGTGGCCCTGGGGACCCGCCAGAGCCACCAACCTGTCGTAGTCCTGGCAGATCTCACCCACAGCCACCAGCGCCTTGAGGTACTCGTTGGGCTGGTAGGGGTTGATGTAGTGCAGGGAGCAGCTGTTTCGGGGGTCCCCGTTGGAGGCCGTGAAGTCGATGGCCACCTGGTGGGGGACAGGGGGGCACCCAGGTGAGCAGGGCCACTGCTGTGTCCCTGCTGGCTGGGGAGGGGAC